CGACGCTTAGATGGGCGAAGCAGCGGGACTCTGTGTGACCACGCATCCCGCAAGGCTGACCAGTCCGGACACCCGTGCTAATAACGTATGGGCAGCGAGCAGTACTCAGCGACCCTCTACTCTGAGCGTACCACTCACGAAGCTGCTGGGGCGAAAGATTCTCGCGCGGACGACGCTGTTGGTGCACAGGGCCACTACAAGAAGCTCCCGAAATACCCACTCCAGGACGACTCTCACTACTGCCACCCCGACAACCCCAACTGGCGTACCACTCACGAAGCTGCTAGGGTGTGAGGGACACACGCGGACGGCCCTGGAGCTGCATCTGGCCACGCCAGGAGCAGCAGTAGAAGCAGGAGCAGCAGGAGCAGCAATAGCAGTAGCAGCAGCAGTAACACCAGTAGCAGCACAGGTAGGGCAGTGCTCACCAGTGGTGGAAAGGGCAGGCGCACGACGGAGGCGACTGCGGGGCCGCTACAGCGGCAGGGCGGGGCCGGGACCGCGGCAGGAAGCTCCGCGGCAGTTGCTGCAGGGCGGGACCGAGCCGCGACGGTCGCTGCTGCAGGGGCGGCTGCTCCAGGGGCGGCTGCTCCAGGGGCTAGGGGCGGCTCCTGCAGTGGCGGCTGCTCCAGTGGCCAGGGGCGGCTGCTCCAGGGGCCAGGGGCGGCTGCTGCAGGGGCGGCCACTCCAGGGGCCAGAGGCAGCAGCAGGTGCGGCTGCTCCAGGGGCCAGGGGCGGCTGCTGCAGTGGCGGCTACTCCAGGGGCCAGGGGCGGCTGCTCCAGGGGCGGCTGCTCCAGGCGCGGCTGCTCCAGGCGCGGGGTAGGGCAGGGCAATGCGGCGGGCAGGGGCGACGACGCGGGCAGGGGCGACGCGGCGGGCAGGGGCGACGCGCCAGGCAGGGTGACGCGGCGAGCAGGGCGACGCCGCGGGCAGGGGCGATGCGGTGGGCAGGGCGACGCGGCGGGCAGGGTGACGCCGCGGGCAGGGGCGACGCGGTGGGCAGGGGGCGACGACGCGGGCAGGGGCGACGCCGCGGGCAGGGCGACGCGGCGGGCAGGGCGACGCGGCGGGCAGGGGGCGACGACGCGTCAGCAGCTGGGCGCGGCCGCGTTATCAGTAGGGCGCGACCGCGTCAGCTGCAAGGCTGGCGGGGCCGCGTCACGGCAGGGCGGGGCCGCGTCCGCGTCGGCGGCAGGGCGGGGCCGCGACCGCGGTAGGGTGGGGCCGCGTCAGCGACCAGGCGGGGCCGCGACTGCGGCCTGACGGGGCCGCGACAACGACCTGACGGGGTCGCGCGCTGGCCTGACGGGCCTGCAGAGGCTGCGTGCGGGCGGCGAGGGCCTGCAGGGGCGGCGCGCGGTCGGGTAGAAGCTGCGCGCGGGCGGCGTGGTCCTGCAGGGGCAGCGCGCCGGCCTGACGGGCCTGCAGGGGCAGCTCTCGGGCCTGACGGGCTTGCAGAGGCGGCTCGGGGGCCTGACGGGTCTGCAGAGGCGGCTCGGGGGCCTGACGGACATGCAGGGGCGGCTCGAGGGCCTTACTAGCTTGCAAGGGCGGCGCACTGGCCTAGGGCAGCACGAGGTAGCGCGAAGGCTGCAGGACGGCGCGCAGGCAGAACGAAGGGCGAGGCGCGCGAGGGCGCACAAGGGCACACGAGGAGAGAAAGGTGCACGAGGGCGCACGTAAAGTAGGGCGCACGAGGGCGCTTCTAGCGGAATAGTGGGCCCGTAGTAGTAAGCGGTCCTAGGTGGCAACCTAGGCTCGTGATACCATGTCAAAATCAACAAGAGTGATTGAACTAGGAAAAAGTTGGGTACAAGTAGGAAACCCTAAACTTACTGTACCCCATAGTAACTACCCCACTACAGCCTTAACAAACTGTAGCAGATATGACATTTGACATGCTACGGGAATTACTGTTACTAGAGGCACACGACGGAGTTACCTCAGGACATTTCGGGGTAGAGAAAATACGGCAGCAGCTGCAGCGGTATTGTTACTGGCCCGAAATGTTGACCGACGTTCAACGACACGTGGCATCGTGTCCCACTTGCCAGATCATGAAATCATCACGGAAGCGGCCGGCAAGACAGTTGCAGCCGATACCACCCCCAGAGCGTGCTTGGCAGCAGGTGACGATGGATTTCGTCACGGGGTTACTGGCCGGAGCGAGTGGGAACGACGCGATCCTGGCCGCCGTCGATCGACTGACGAAAATGGCACACTTCGCAGCCTGCAAGAAATCAATCACAGCCGAAGAAACAGCCCGCCTCTTCATCTCCACCATCGTTCGACTGCACGGGATACCAACAGCGATCATCAGCGACCGCGACACAAAATTCACCAGCAACTTTTGGCGGAACTTGTGGCAGCAGTTCGGCACGCGACTACAGTTCAGTTCTTCGTACCACCCCGAGACCGACGGACAGACAGAGAGGACAAATCAGACAATGGAACAACTCATTCGGGCCACGTGGGACGACCCAACCACTTGGGAACAGCAACTGCCGCTCATTGAATTCGCGTACAATAACTCACCATCCGCCACGACCCAACAGTCACCGTTTTAACTGAACTACGGACAAGACCCGACAGTACCCATGACCCCGAATCCCGAGGACCAGGTGCCACGAGCGCAACAGTTCGCCGAAATTTTACAAGCAGCACGAACCCGGGCAGCAGACGCAATAAAAAAATCAAACATCATCGCTAAACGCAACGCCGACCGCCACCGCCGACCTATCACTTACCAGCCCGACGACCTAGTTTTACTTGACACCCAGAACCTCCGCCTGCCCATTACCCCAAACTTCGCCCTCGATATTGTGGGCCATTCCGCATCAGCCACATGATTACACCCGTCACCGCCCACCTCCTCCTCCCTACTGACTGGTACGTCATCCCGTCATTCCACGCCAGTCTGCTTCGCCCCTACGTACCATCCACAAGCCAACTGCCCCGCAACCGCCCAGCTAGCATGACACGACCACCGACCGAGCCAATCATCACGCCTAAGAAGATTCTGAGCCACCGAGTTCGTGACCCACGAGGAGCCCGAAGAATCGAATTCCTGATCCGCTGGAAAGACCGTACACCCACCGAGACAACTGGGTTCCCCTAGATAGAATCGAAAACCACCCCGTCCTTACCGAGTACCTGCGCAGCCGAATTTTCCGGGATGTACACGCGCTTTCGTAAGGAGGGCTTCCTTAGGGAGGGGGTAAGAGTAAGGAAAATTCCTTTTCCTTACTTCGCGTCCCTGCTCAGCGCGTACACCACTGTTCCCGCCAACAGCACCCAACAATAAACTGTTACCACTCGCGACATTCGCCTCGACACTATTCCCGCCGCTGTTCACGACGCGACCCAACCTCACGGTTCGGTTGGTAACCCGCGCTCCGGACCTCCGCCTCGGCAATTCCCAACCTCGGCGCCAGGCCCGTCGCGCACCCCATTTTCACGCATTACCGTTTCCACTGTATTTTCGCTATATATTCTTCGGTCATGCCTCCGCTCATTGTACTCTTGCTTCGATAATGCAATTCTCGCTCGATCACTCAATTGCACTCGTAACACTAGTCATAGAAATGACAAGAGGCTGTATCTATTTTATTTTGTAAAAGAAACCGCCACTAACGAGTACCTTATGAGGGGGACTGTGAGACACCTTCCCAAACGTGCTATGAGCCTGACACCTGTCAGCTTTCGTCCTGACACAACCTCGACCTTCAAGGAATGGACCCGAGATTTCACGCATACTCCGTGCTAGACGCGAAAGCAGGAACACGCCCAACGTAACGGATCCCATCCCATGATCCCATCCGATGCCTCCTCTTCGCCCCCTCCCTCCCTCCCTCCCGCCCCGTTGTTCCCTTGGGAATGCCGCCAGCCACCACCAGCCACCACCAGCCGCCATCATCAATGCAGTCGTAACTCGAACCACCACATTCAACCGAGTCCAACCAGAGTAACAAAATCTCAAGGTGAAGGCTGGCACAGCAGTACCACTCTATCTTTCTAAACTAGACCAACCAGAGGCAGAAAGCCCATTCACACACGAGGGTTGTAATTCACAGCCAACACGTGTGTCCTCGCTCGAACTAACAGAATTGCATGATGCTGCATCGTTGCTACTGCTTAGTCACTCCTCCCTCAACCCTAATCTCCAGCATCTGCTGCTTGTAGGCTATTGGCGTGTCGGTCGTAGTGTGAGCTCGGGATTTCGTTTGACGACTTGCAATTCGTGCAAGTCAACCATTTCTATATGCTCCACCATCTCAAGGCCTTCCATCTGGATTTGATTAAAGTATTGGTGCTGCAGTGCATTGCACTATTCATCCGTTTCAAAGTGGTATCGATTTTTAAGTCGACTCAAGAGGCAGTTAGTCCAGTGCTCGCTGTGACCTGATCGAATTCCCTCTTTACAAAGACGATTGTCACGGATTCGGGTTTCGGAGCCGGCCAGCAACCAGATTCAGCCGCTGGACATTGCCATTCCTTCGCCTTCAGTTCCCGTGGTAGTCTCAAGCTCCACCATGTTCCTCCGAACCGTTCCAATACCGATCACCACCGTACTAGCTCATCAACATCTTTGCGGTAGAATCTATAGAACCCTTTCAAAAATGTACTAGCACATCAACACCTGAATTGTCCCAGACTCGTCCTTTCACTAGCACATCAGCATCGCTTTCCACGGGATCAACGTGTTGTTCTCACCGGATCAGCGCTTCAAATCTCACGTTTTCACCGTACTCCGTAACCCATCAGCGTCTAGTTTTGAGCCGTCTTCAAGCCACTCACACGCCACTTGTCCCACCTCTATCTCCCGTTCAATCCTCGTCAACCTCCTTATCCTAGGCTAACTCTCGTTCAGTCATCGTCCCGCGGTCGTGCTGCTGGTGTCCGTGGTGACACAAGTCCGTGTATATTCTAAGACGATTTCAAGCAGCGTCTACCTCTTAGTCAATCACTGCTCTGCTCTTACTCCATCGCTAGGCCACCATGCTGCTCGTGTTCGTGGTGGACACGAGTCCGTCCATGGGCCAGCGGATCGCCAACGGTCTCACGCTACTTGACTGTGCTAAGAGCGGCGTTGAACACTTTCACAAGGTGGGTCGTAAACTTTTACAATTGAAATAGGACGCTTCCATAAGGTAGGTCAAACAAACACCCTTTTGTCCAGCGGGTTTCGGAGTGCACATGTAACCCTGTCCTTTGCACAACGTCAAGAGATTCTTATTTCTTGCCACGGCCTGGTCCCCATTGGTGTCTTGTGTTGCAGGTTCGCCAGCGAGACATCTCTGCCAGGGCGGATAGGTAACTCTTGCTTTTTCTTCTTTGTTTTACCACATAATTACCGTTTCTTTGTTATCACTTAAACTGATCATTACTGTTTTTTACGTTCTTATTTCACTTTCTGTCCAGGTACATACTGGTGACATGCGATGAAGGTGCATCGGCAATCAAGGTGGGATGAAGTGCTCTTATCCCTTCTCCCCCTCCTCTACCCATACCCTCCCTTCTGTTCACTAACTCAACCGCATCAGTCCTCTTTCCTATCCTATGCACACATATGTAGAGTGCATAAATGTGATGAGATCAACGCAACCAATGTTTCTGCACTTTTCACTCCTCCCCATGGCAAATCCGTTTTTACCGTCTCCCTTGCTTTCGAGGCCTTGCTGAAGAAAATAAACGTCGATGCATTTAGAAAAAAACACACAAAAAAAGTGCCTGAAAAGAGAACTGATACTATAAATATGTTATGCTCTCTGTCACTGCAGGTGGTCGGTTTTTCCCCTTTGCCATTCCGCTGCATCCGTACACACCCATCCTTACCCGCCCGGTCCTCTCTCGCTCTTCACTCCCCCAGGTGGTCGACCGCTTCCCCTTCACCAATTTCCTGCGGGTTCTCAAGGCTGTCAAGGTGGGGGGTCTCTCCTCCATCGGCCAATCGCTGCGCGCCACGTTTGACCTGCTGCACACTCAACGCCTCGCGGCAGACGTTGACCGTTGGGGTGAGTGTGGCAAGTATTTGATGCGATGGTGGTTTTCTTATTGTTTTCCAGAGACTTGTGCGTCGACTCATTTCCTTCAAACATGACTCTCATGACACAGATTGTGCAAGTTTGGCATGCTGATCTATGCCTACGCACCCACGTGTCACCATGCGCCGATAGAACACTGAAGTGGGTTCCGCTTCTTCGTACCCTGTATCCCCTCCCGCCTCCGCCCCTGGCTCCTTTTCAGGCATGGGTCGCAATCTCGCCTCGGTGGATCCAACGGTTGTCATGCTTCTCACCGATGGCACGCACTTCACATCAGTACGTGCATCTTCTGAATCCAGTGGAGTAGAAGAGTACGGTAGCACGAATTGGATTTGTCATATGCTGAGGTGACTTTTGAGCCGACTTACCTGTTGTCATGCTTCTTCTCGCTGATGGCATGGCATGCACCTTATTCATTGGGAACACAAATATGATCCAACCCCGCTCTCTGTTGGCCCATTTGCCTCTATCCCCGTTCACCCCTACTCTCCTGTCTGACTTCCTTCCTCCCCAACGGTCCCCTGATCCTGTCTCCCCCATCCAAATATTCGGCCCATCCCTCCCACCCTCCTACCTTCACTCCCCACACTCCCTCCTCTCCAGCGGTTAACAAGTCAACAAGCCTGGCTCTGCTACCAGCAACCAACTCCACCCCACTAGGCGGCGAGCTGGCGTCACAGCCGTTCCGGTGGGACCAGCATGTGCTCGCCACCATCCTGCGCATCCCCAGCGCCAAGCCTGAGCACCTCTTGAGGACTGGCTCTCTGCCCGCCCCTCTTCACAAACCTTCTTCCCCGTTTCCCCACTCCCCCCCCTGGTTCCTGCCCCCCCCTGCCCCCACCCGCCCCCCCCCACACCCCCCACGAACCCTCCCCCATCTCCAGCGGTTTGGGGCGTCAACGAATTTGGCTCTGCTACCAAACGCCACGCCCGCCCCACTAGGCGGCGAGCTGGCGTCACAGCCGTTCCGGTGGGTGGGAGCAGCGTGTGCTCGCCCCCCTCCTGCGCATCCCCAGCGCCAAGCCAGAGCACCTTGAGAGGGTCGGTCCCTCCCCTCCCCTCTTCACCAACCTTCTTGCCCGTTTCCCCCGCCCCCACCCGTTCCCCCACACCCCCCACAACGCTTCCCTGTGTGCAGCGATTCGGAGTGTCCACGAGCCTGGGCCTTCTACCAGCGACCAACTCCCCCCCACCAGGCGGCGAGCTGGCGTCACAGCCGTTCCGGTGGGAGCAGCGTGTGCTCGCCACCATCCTGCGCATCCCCAGCGCCAAGCCAGAGCACCTGGACAGGATCGGCCCTCTGCCTGCTGCCGGCCCCATCTCAGAGTCGCCAGCTGCTGTGGCTGTGGACACGAGTGTGTCGGCGCTGTGTGAAGCCACTGGGTGGGTGGGAGAGTCTAGAGTGGACGTGTGTACAGTATGGGTGTGTGTGCGTGTGCAGCTATGGTGTGTGCATGTCGTGAGTGTGTGTGCTGGTGAGTTGGCCATCCTGCGCATCCCCGGGGCCAAGCCAGAGCACCTGGAGAGGATTGGCCCTCTGCCTGCTGCCGGCCCCATCTCAGAGTCGCCAGCTGCTGTGGCTGTGGACACGAGTGTGTCGGCGCTGTGTGAAGCCACTGGGTGAGGCTGTGGGGACGTGCATGCATCCAGTATGTCACCACTCATGTATCATCAGATACTGCTGGTCAATCAAGGTTAAAAAAAAGACTGCTTGCCGCCTTTCTCCAAGCTGATGTTTTCATTTATTGCTCCTACTTAACAAAAGTGCCTCTTGAATGGATGGAGTGTGTTATTCATGCCTCTTTTATTCACTCCTCCCACACTTAAATTCAGTTCTCCTTTTCTGTTCTGTTCCCCGCTTGCATTTCTTTTGCTGTCCCGTTGCATGAAACCTGTGCAGTGGCAAGTGCAGTGTGGTAACCAGCTGGAAGATGCTCTTTCAGCACCTAGATATTGTCGCCTCGCGCCTCTCGCCAGCTGTCGTCGTCTCATTCGACCATGTGCCACTACCGGGCGGCGCACCCATGCCGCCCCAAGTCCACGCTGCATGCCAACGAAAGCTATTATTCGTTCGCAACCTGCCCACCACCGGACCAGCAGGCTCGGCAGCTGGGTTGGCCGCTCCAGGCGCAGCAGGCTTGGCAGGACAGCTAGGCTTGGCACCGCCGCAGCCGGCCGCCGGGCCTCCTCCAGTGGTTTGGCCTATACCTGAAGCATTCTGGCCGGATTTCACCACTCCTAGTGCTGCCACTGCTGCTGCTGCTGGGGCATCAGGAACCCCGGGTGCTCCAAATATCTCCTCCAGCCCTCCTACCGATCCTCCCATCTTTCCTCCTCGCGACCCCCACCCCGTGATAACCTATCGGGCGGTGGATACAGATGCACGCGTGCCGCCCGGGATACCAGTGGACAAGTACGAGATCGAAGGGTGTCCCATCCTGGGCTTCCTCAGCAAGGCCGGGCCCAACGTGTGCTGGCAGGTGAGACTAGGGCAGGTGGGATGCTGGTCAGCGCAAGCGGGTGCTGCCCGGGATACCGGTAGACAAGTACGAGATCGAAGGGTGTCCCATCCTGGGCTTCCTCAGCAAGGCCGGGCTCAACGTGTGCTGGCAGGTGGGATGAGAACAGGGCAGGTACATGCGTGCATGCCTTGTTCAACCAACGAGCTATCCAGCAAGGAAGCAAGTTGTGCATGCATGCTATACAATCCTGCGTGCACGCGCCTCCATGTGCACGTGTGTCTCCTGGAAGCCGTTTATGGGAGGGAGAGCACAGGTCTAGCGTTGAGACTTGAGGGTTTTCTTATAATCCTCAAGCTCTACAACAAACGATGTGTGTGTGCGTGCATGTGTGTGTGCGTTCGTTTGAGTGTGCGTGCGTGTGTGCGTGTTTGTGTGTGTGTGTGTGTGTGTGTGTGTGTGTGTGTGCGTGCGTGTGTGTGTGCGTGCATGTGTGTGTGCGTGCGTGCATGCGTATGTGCACGTGTGTGTGCATGTCTGCATGTCTTGTGTGGCACGGATGTGTGTCGGCGAGTCGGCGTGTGTCGGCAGGTGTTCATGCGAGGGAGCAAGGGTCCGCGGAACGGCCTGGGTGATCCGTTCGGGTGAGTCTCTCTCCATCCTCCATGGCGCCTCAGAGTCGCTGCTTCACCTGAGCCTGTGGTTAGCTGTCGCGCACATGCCTGGGTGTGCTTCTTTCACCCTGATTCTTACGTATTACGGCATTCTCTGCTCACCCGCACATTACGATGATGCCCTCCTAAACCCCATACCTCCTCTCCATGCTTGCACGCCCTTATGCCTGCATGCCATGCACCCTTACCCCCATCCCATGCAACCTTGCCTGCATGCCATGCTCCCTTGCCTGCATGCCATGCTCTGCTCCCTTGCCTGCATGCCATGCTCCCTTGCCTGCATGCCATGCTCCCTTGCCTGCATGTCATGCTCCCTTGCCTGCATGCCATGCTCTCTTGCCTGCATGCCATGCTCCCTTGCCTTCATGCCATGCTCCCTTGCCTGCATGCCATGCTCCCTTGCCTGCATGCCATGCTCCCTTGCCTGCATGCCATGCTCCCTTGCCTGCATGCCATGCTCCCTTGCCTGCATGCCATGCTCCCTTGCCTGCATGCCATGCTCCCTTGCCTGCATGCCATGCTCCCTTGCCTGCATGCCATGCTCCCTTGCCTGCATGCCATGATCCCTTGCCTGCATGCCATGCTCCCTTGCCTGCATGCCATGCTCCCTTGCCTGCATGCCATGCTCCCTTGCCTGCATGCCATGCCCCCTTGCCTGCATGCCATGCTCCCTTGCCTGCATGCCATGCTCCCTTGCCTGCATGCCATGCTCCCTTGCCTGCATGCCATGCTCCCTTGCCTGCATGCCATGCTCCCTTGCCTGCATGCCATGCTCCCTTGCCTGCATGCCATGCTCCCTTGCCTGCATGCCTGCAGGTACCTCAGAGTGAACCGGCCAGGCAGCTCACTCACTCTCCACGTGCTGCCCTACAACTACCCTGTGAGTGTTGTGAGTTGACGCCGTTTCTTAGTGCTGGCCAAAGGTGAGTCAACGCACCGCACGTGCTGCCTCACAACTACCCTGTGAGTCTTGGCTTCTTCTCTTGCTGTGCCAGTGAAGCTCCTGCTGCTGAATTTTCAACCCTGTTTGCTCCATTCGAGCGATGAGAAAGCCCTCACTTTGCACCTTCCAATGTCTCAATTCTCCCCACCAGGCAGGGCGTGTGATAGATCTCTCGATTGATCTCACTCACGTCCTGTGTGCTATCCCCTTTTCCCTCCCCCCCCCCCCACCCCCCTTCGCACAGGTGTTGTTCCCACTCGTAGAGCAGCTCCAACGAATGCCGCCCCATACAAGGGCTTCCCCGCCGGCCGGCTGGCGGCACGACTTTGAGCGTTACTGCACCGGCGTCCCTCCGTACTACGCCGCCCCGCTCCGAGCCGCCATGCGCAGGCTCGGCGTGTCAGCCGCAGGTGCGGCGGTGCCGGACCTGATGGACGCCAGCCTGGCAGCAGGTCCGGTGGCGTCGCAGCTGCGGCGATGGCGGGTGAAGGCGAAAGGGGAGATTGAAGAGCGATTGCAAGAGATTGCAAAGGTAGGCGCCTGTCTAATCCGTCCCTGCTTACCTGTTGTGAATTGACAATTTTTTATGCTATCATCACATATGAAGCAAACTAGCCTGCTGGTATGTATGAAATTGAATACAGAATGCCCTTTTCCTTGGTTCTTGCTTCTATGTTGACCTCCTTCTGTCGACCCCTTCGATCTGCCCGCCTGTTTGCAGACGGCCAATCAGATGGCTCAGTCCGCCGCTGCCCGGCCACCTCCCCTGCCCACGCTCTCCTTCAAGGTGCCTCTGGCTCTACTCAGTGCTGTTCAACTGCCCTCTGACAAACCAAATCAACAGAAGCAACAACAGCAAGTGCAGCAGCAGCAGAGAGTAGTGCAGCTGCTACCACCCCCACCGCCTCCACGCTCCTTCCCTGTCTTCCCTATCCCTCCCCCGCCCTTGGCCTCTCAACCCACTCTCTCCCTTGCGTCCACCAATCCGCTCATGCCATCTGTCCCCCCTTCCCTCCCCGGGGCTGTGGAGGCTGGGGAGGCTGGTGCTTACAGCGGTGGTGCTTATAACGGGGGTAGTAATAGCTCTGGTGCTACTGGTGCTGCTGCTGGTGCTGGTGCTGCTGGTGGTCCTCCAGGGGGATCAGGGGGTGGTGAGGCGCCAGGGGCAGGGCAAGGGCGACCAGCAACCATCTTCACGAATCCGTGTGAAGTTTCTCGAGAGGATTCTTTGCGGTGAGTGTGGGTGGGGTTGGGTGTGGGATGGAAAGTAGAATAGAGAGAACGAGGGAGGGTGTCGAGGGAGGAGTATAGTGGGGGTGAGGGCGGGTAGAGGTAACGGGTGAATGGCACTGGTAACTGTCTTCTTGATTCCGTTTGCATCTTTTCAAGTAGGCTCGTTGAGAATTCGGGTTTTGGATCTCATCTCTTCATCAGGATGTCAGGGTTTGGGGTTTTCGTCTCGCCATCATTGTGCAATGCGGCTTCAACTTTCATCTCTACATCAGATTCGGGGTTCAGGGTTTCAACTCTCCACCAGGGGTTGGGATTGGTCCCTTAATCAGGGTCTGGGGTTTAGGGTTGTGGGGACTTCATGGCCGTCAGGTGCAATTAAAAAGCAAGCACGCTTGTTGAGAATGAGGCTTGATGCATCACGGTTTTCCTCTCCACCCCCCCGCCGTCGTCGTCCTCTCTTCTCGCCCCTCCCACCCTCCAGGCAAGTGCTTCAACTGCCCCTTCGCCTCGCCGCGATCCTCAGCAGCAGCAGTCCTGCCTTTGCGCCTGGAAAGCCATCTTCTGCATTTCGACCCACGCCGTCACAGGATGAAGGGCTGGCCGTCGCAGCAGGAAAGGCAGGGGCGTCGAGGGCTGGGCAAGGGGGGTTGAAGGGAGAGGTAGCACCACTGGACCCAATTCAAGAGGAGAGAGTGCTGCAGGGAGTGGGGAGGGGTCGGCCAAATTGGGGCACAGCAGCTGGTGCTGTTGCTGCTGCTTCTGCAGCAGATAAGGTGGCAGCGCCGTGGCTCACTGGTGGATATGACGTTGACAGGTGGTGCGCTCTGATTGGTGCTGTAGGGAAGTGGGCACTTCTGGCGGAGGAGGAGGCAAAGCACACCGTCAGCATCGAAAAGGTGCTTTTTTTACTCAAGGCTCTTACAGCTAAGACTTCATAAAACTCGAAACGCTTGAAACAACGTTCTCTCACCTTTTCTCGATGCCATTTAAGTTTTTCCTTGCAATTGTAATCAACACTGACTACTGTCCGATCTTCTCCAACCCATTTATCCTTTGCAATCACCCCCCTTCCCTCCTTGTCCTCCCCCCCAACTACCCTTCCACCCTTTTGGCCCTGGGCACTTGGGATGTTTTTGTAGCTTCTCCCATTTTACCTCAGCAGCTTTTGAGGCACCCCAGATTTAGCCCCCTCCCTTTTTTTTTTGTTCACAGTTCTCCTCCTCCTTCCTTGCCTTCCTTGCCTTCCTTGCCTTCCTTGCCTTCCTTGCCTTCCTTGCCTTCCTTGCCTTCCTTGCCTTCCTTGCCTTCCTTGCCCTCCTTGCCCTCCTTGCCCTCCTTGCCCTCCTTGCCCTCCTTGCCCTCCTTGCCCTCCTTGCCTTCCTTTTCTTCCTTGCCTTCCTTGCCTTCCTTGCCTTCCTTGCCCTCCTTGCCCTCCTTGCCCTCCTTGCCCTCCTTGCCCTCCTTGCCCTCCTTGCCCTCCTTGCCTTCCTTGCCTTTCTTGCCCTCCTTGCCCTCCTTGCCCTCCTTGCCCTCCTTGCCCTCCTTGCCCTCCTTGCCCTCCTTACCCTCCTTGCCCACCGTGCCTGTGTGTGTCAGATGGGCGACTTCAATGATGCACTCCAGCGGCAGCAACCACCCCGCAGCCCCTATGTAAGCTCCAGGTCCCATTCCATGCACTAGTCGTGTAGCTTGAATTGAAGTGGAGTCATGCATCTGTCAGTTCTTCAGGCTCATGTGTGTGCTGGCTACTGTTAGACCGCCAGCATCGTTGCTACCTAAACCCATGCATCGCATCGCCAGCAAGTCATGCATCAGGTAGCCCGACACAAGGCGGCGCTCCTTTGAGTCAATTCAACAAGCTTGAGTCATCACTGCTAGCTCATTCCACGATTTCATGCCATGTCCCATCCATCTCCTTCTCTGTCCCTGCTTCCCCCTTCCCCACACCAGATCGACGACCAGGATCGCATCAAGGCGGCACGGACGGCCTTTGGCAACCCGTACCGGCAGGACAAGCCAGACATGCCCACAGCCAACGAGGCATTCCTCCGCCTGGACGACCAGAGCCCAGGCCCACCTGGGGCAGGCCCACCCGCCGGCGCAGGCTCATCTGGTGCAGGTTCGCCTGGTGCAGGCTTATCTGGCGGTGCTGCCGGTGGTACTGCTGCTGGCAGCGGTGGTGGTGGTGGGTCTGCTGCTGCTGGTGCCAGCGGTGCTTCCTCTCCCAGTGTGCTTGCCCTTGCTCGCTCCCAGAAAAGGCGGCGGCGGTCAGAATCCCCAGCGCCCCCATCACCATCTCCCCCTATGTCACCTCACCCCACTGCTCCTTCTTCACCCTCTCCTCCCTCTCACACTCCCCCGTCCGCTCCCTCTCCCCGTCTGCCCCTGTCCTCCGCGTCACCCCGTGCGGTGCCTGTCCAAGCCTCGGCAGCAGCTCCGGCCGCACCTCATGCTGACCGTGCCTTGAGGCCTGGTGCGGCTGCTGCTACTGCTGCTGCTGCGCGGCCAGCTACTCACAGCAGCGGCTCAGAAGCGACAGTGCCCCGTGCTGCTGCCGCTGCAACTGTTTCTGCTGCTGCACCAGGAGCAGAAGCAGCAGCAACAACAGGCGGAAATTCTGCCGCACCAGCCCCATCTGCTCACACCGCTGCAAAAGCAGCTAAAGCAGGAGCCACAGCAGCACCTACAGGTTCAGTTGCAGGAGCAGCTACAACAATAGCTGTAGCAGCAGGTCGTGTTGAGGCAGGAGGGGGAGCTGTTGCCGCTGCTACCGCTTCTGCAGCTGCTCCCATTATTGATACGGTGGCTACGCCACCAGATCTCTCTGCTGCTACTGGCTCTGCCATTTCTCCAGCCACGGCGGAAGAAGACAAGCGACGTGAGCTCAGCCATCCACTGTTCTTGCCAGAGAGCTGTTTCCGGGCGGCGCAAGCAATGGAGAGGCGGCAGCAGGAGTCGATGCAATGGCCCAGAGAAGCAGCCGCAGGAGAGGAGCGAGGTTCAGGTGGGGGGGAAGAGGTAGGAGTTTCTGAGGGTAGAGAAACAGAAGTAGCTGTGGAGATAGGAGACAGGGGCGTAGCAGGGGAGGGAAGAGGAACAGGGGAGGGTAGAGGAGCAACGGAGGGTAGAGGAGGGATGGAGGGTAGGGGAAGAGGGGCGAAGCGGCGGAGGGTGATAGCGGAGGGGGAGTCACGGGATTGGACGGTGGATGTGGGGCTGGAGGAGCGCGTGGAGGAGCAGGAGGATGTGGTGGCGCTGGCAATGCGGAGGGGCAATCCTCGCTGGCGCACTGTGCGCACGCCAGCTGGCAATGAGAGGGATCAGGAGGAAGTGGTGGACTTTTTGCTGTCGATCTACCGGGTGCTGCGGTCAGCGCGTCCCAACAACACAAAACAGGTAAGAGGGATGCATTAGAAAAGGAGTTTTGAGTTTGGATGGGATGATTAAAGTTCTCGTTCATGGTGGTGTTATTGTGCAGTTATTTGGCAATAGTTGTTGAAAGTACGTTAACGAGGCCTCGCCTTTCCTGTTGGATTCTTGCAGCTCTTTGCTCTTCTCTCAGTGCCCGACTTTCCTGTGGACAAGCGCCATTTTGTACAACAGCTTGTAGAGAAGGTAAGGAAATATGTTTGGTATGAGCGTCCATAACTGCAGAATGCTGTCTTCTGTTTCGTGCATTGTTTATATCCTTTTTTTTCCATTTTGTTGACGACCCTGCAGGCCCGCAGATTTAACAAGCCATTCCTTGTGAGGGAATTGTCAGATTATCTAGCAGCACCTGCAACATGAGAACATTTTTTTATCAGACAAGTGTTATATCTTCTACAGTTCCGCTCATCACGAAGGGTACTATATCCGCTTATCTTCCGAAGTGTCTGGGGTCAGCGCAATCCAGCTGCTGCAGAGAGCAGCCTCTCACATCTCGCTCTGTGCTGTGCTGTTCGCTTTTTGCATTTCTATTCGTCAACTGTTCACTTCTCGAATCGAAGTCTGCCATGTCACAACGCATTGCAAATGCGCCTCCGTTCAGCGGCTCGTCTTTCATTTTGGCGTTTGGGTTGAGGGACCACCCCCATCATCACACTCCAAGGCTGACCAACCGCACATACCTAGGATGATCGGACTTCATGTGCTGGAGAATTCTGTTCTGACTCCTGAAACCAAGCCATTGATGGAGCAAAATGAATCATCCGCCGAGCCGCCAGAGCAGAAACTGGCCAGGTGGGGAACATCGTGAAACGCGTTCACCAATCAGCATCAAGATTTCAGCACTCCTAGATTCTGGATATTTCTAGTTGCACTTTTTCCCATTAGCAACGTATTGCACCACTCGTTGCCGCCTTCTACCCCATCATCCTAGGCTGCTGCTTGAGGAAATTGCTGCTCTTGCTGGTGGTGCATGCTGCTCACCCCAATCCCCAAGCCTCCCATCTCCCCACAGAACCAGCACTTCGGTTGCGGGTACAAATTGAGCAGCAATAACAGAAACGGTGACGCTCCTTCAGACAAGGCGAAGCTATTTCCCTTCGGAGGCTGCAACCTCGGTTTCTGCGCTTTGCACAGTTTCAGCAACATTCGCTATTCGTAGCCATCTTGTCGCTCTTATCCTTCGGTCGATTTGTACTGACTCGACAAGATGTCTTCCGCTGTAACAGCCACCATGTCAACAACTTTCAGACCCTCGTTCTTTGGATCGAGGATAGAGCTCCTTGAAGGACCCAATGCTGCTGGAGCTCGACTCACCATGCGGGTAGGACCGCGGATTGCGTCGTCGGTCAGCGTCTGGAAGGGCGAAGCTGAACTTCTAAAATCTGTGTCCAGATGGCGAAGTTCCCCCGGGGAACTGCAGTTCTCCTTCCTCGTCGGCGAATATCCGGAAGAGTGCAGATGGCGCTCGGCGGGACTATCTGTCGATCCTGAGTCATTCGCCAAGACTACAGCACTCGAGGTACGCATCCCGTTTACGCCACCTTTCCTCGACCACCCTCCTGTTTCCTGCCTGTAGTTCAACGTGGTAGGCTCCCGTTCTTTCGTTTTCTACTTTTCTTTCTAAACCTTTGTCATCTTTTGGTGATGCTGCTTGGATTCCTTCCAGGTCATTCACGCGCGTTGGGCTATGCTTGGCGTTGTCGCGTGCCTCGTCCCAGAGACCACTTTCCGGATACTTCAAACTTCGCACCTCGCTGGCGGCAGCAACATCGACTCTCTAAGAAGCTCGATCCTTGGTAGCACGACAAGTTTGATCGAGTCTTGTGACTTTTGCACCGCGAAGACCATCCTCGCTATTGGCGCGATCCAGATCCTCGGCATGGCTGCCGTCGAGGCGTTCCGGGTTTCAGGAGGGCCTCTAGGCGACGCAAGCGGTTCTGTTTATCCAGGAGGTTTCTTTGACCCGCTGGGCCTGGCAGACAGCAGTAATCCAACTGAGCTGGCGAAGCTAAAGGCTAAAGAGCTTCAGAATGGGCGTCTGGCCATGTTCTCTATCTTGGGATTCGCAGCACAGGCAGCCGTGACAGGGAAAGGACCAGTTGAAAACCTGATGGAGCATATGGCGGATCCCAAGTTGCACAACGCCTGGACGTACGCCGAGGGTTTATTCCACTGACCAGAGTGCTCATTGTGAGCCATGGGTCGCCATGATGAGTTACTTCTTGCATCGAGTTCCTCTTTGTGTCTTTCCATGTACATTCCACCCTTCTCTTTTTCTTTAGTTTTGGTATGGGTATGGGGTATGGCATACCTCTTGTGGCCTTGCTGCCTAAGTTGCACAGGAGAATAATATTATTTTTGTGGTACCGGTACTTCATTTGACGCAACTCTAGCACTGATGGAGAATATCGCACCGAGAACCATAGAGAATACGAGTTGTGTTTTACCTTTTCATGGATGCAGGAGCAACTTTCATGCCAACTGCTAGCCAAACGGTTTCTGTTATCAACAAAGCGGTCGGGTAGCGTTTGTGAGCATGTAAATGAGGACAGAGGGGAGGGGAGTATTGGGAGGCGAAACCACATTACAACTGTAGTGATTAGGATTCACGGAAGTTCCATATACATTACCGATACACTCTTTTTACATTATTACCTATCCCACCCAACCTCCTCCCCCTCCACCAACTCTCCGCATCACATTTCCTCTGCACCACAAGTCACATCCATCACGTGCATGCTATCAACCCTCACACGCACGAAAAGTCCAAACTAAATAACAGCTGCGAGCTGGCATTCGGTGGTGTTGGTCATGGAGTAGCTGTTACCATTGCCGAAGCGCAGCTCCTGCACGCAGGGCCGGAAGTCCCACAAGTACGCATACACAATGTTCACCGTCTCCCCGGGGAGCATCTGTAGAGTGCCGCTTGCACCGCGGTTCATGCGCATCTCACAGTACCCCGGCGTCGTCTGCACAAAGATTTCGCCTTGCTGGTACTGCGAGGGGTTGGGCGCGGGGTTGTCGAGGATGCCCTCCCACACGTTGCCGAAGTTGAAGCACTGCCACACGCGCAGCGGGCTGGTGACGTTGTAGGCGCAGCCGTTGTAGAAGGTCATGTTGTAGATGTCGTTGTGCAGGTCGTACGGCCCCAGGTACTGCGAGCGGATCGTCACCGTCGTGCGCCCACATGCTGTGGGGGAGGAGAGGGCAGAAGGGAAAGGTGAAGGGGAAGAGGTGAGTAGGGGTGGGCTGTGCAGGTCACCGTTGTGGGAAACAAGGGGAGCAGATGAATAAAAATAGGGGAGCAGAATAATGAGCAGGGGCGCAGAGGAATGAGAGGCAAGGGGAGCATAGGAATGAAAGGGAAGGTGAGCAGGGGAGCAGTGATGGCAGTGGGAGGTTGGGGAGCAGCAGCACACATGGATCAGCAGCGGGTAAAAGAAGAGAGTGGAAAGAATTTGTGCGTACTGGTGGCGAGGGCCTGGCGGCGGGGGATGTGGTCGAGGTAGCCGGGCAGAGGCTCGTGGTGAGCAAAGGTCTCAGCCGCCAGAATGCGCGCGCCCTTCCTCTGCTGCCCCGCCGCCCCCGCCCCGCCAGGCGCGCCCCCCTCCGATGGGACGAGGCCCCTGGCTACCTTCATGGCGTCCCGCGCTCCACTCACCGCTGCCGCCAGCAGCCCCACCGCCAGCGCCGCCAGCACCAGCACGCGCATCCCAGCCGTCGCCATGAGGAGAGGCGAAGAAGTAACCTGTGAGTCAGCTAAAAAATCGGCTCGAGCAGGAGCAGGAGCTGAGAGGCTGCTGCAAGCGGCTGTTTGAGGAGGAAATTGAAGGGAGAAGAGGCCGATTGAGGCGGAGTGGAGCTGATGATTCCATGGCTGCACAAGGCGTCGGCTTTATAGGCAGAGGAAGAGGCGTGCACAGCTGCACGGATTTGGAGAAGAGGTGGTTAAGGAGATATCCGCGACTCGGCGTCGGATGTGTGGCGTGGAGGAAGAGCTACTAGCTCGAGGCGACGCGACGAAGGAGGAGGCGAAGGGTCTGCGGGAAGCGGCGAGGCGGCGGGTGATGCGACGCAAGGTGCATCGCAATCGTCGCTCACACGTCGCAGCCGTTACGAATGCCGCCGCTGTCGACGTCGCTGTGGCGAAGACTTTGACTCGGAGTGATCGCCACGAAATACTCTCTTTGTCTTCATGAGTCGTACTAGTCTCGGTGTAGAGCGGTTCATGCGGCTGGCGGGACAAGCCAAGAGTCGCTGAAGAGCATCGGGTCGGAGGTAAGTCCAAAACAATCAGGCATCTCATGAGCGGCTCGATCTGCCGACATTATGTAATCCATGCGACGATCGCGTTTGCTGGTGGTTAACCGAAACGACAGCGCTAACTACCACCAGATCAGCGTCCCTTCCTTTGAACCCCCTGGTCTCTGACTCCTCATGTCTTTCCGAAGAGTCCTCGTTTCGCTACCAGACTTCCGCGCAGAAACAGAACTGCAGACGGTTAGAAAGCAATCCGCGTGTCTAACGACACGCATGATCCGCGTCGCGTCCAACATCAACGTTTGCCACCAGAGAGTTTGTCTACCCGAATAACGACAGGCCAGCACGACGGATTTAGCAGACAAGAGCTTGTTGGTAATCCCAACGCGTCGCAAGCAGGAACAAAAATCGACGAGGTAAGGCAAAGGCTGCAGTGCTTGTCCCTTGAATCCAAATCGACCTTGGGATTTGAAAAGACTGTTAGTTTCCTCGCGGAGACGGTTATCGCTGCACGCACAACCGCGCATACGTGAATAGCGTGAACGAAATATGCGGCGGTGACGATCGTGCGAGGCTGGAATAACTGTGCGAAGCCAGTAGATTTTCCAATTTCGCCTGAGTTCGCCAAGCAGGCAAAATTCCATGCATACTTGGTGCAAGGAAATTTCCTTTTCCTTAGTTCGCGCCCCTGCTTACCGCGTGCACGACTGTTCCCGCCAACAGTTCCTACAGGTTGTTATGAGTGCAATTGAGTGAGCGAGCGAGAATTGCACTAACTAAACAAGAGTACAATGAGCGAAGGCTGAGAGAATAATATATATAGCGAAACTAAGGTGGTAACGGTAAGGGCACGTTCGTTCCGTTCCCAAGTTCGAAAATCAGTTCGAACTTTAGGTGGTTACCTTTTTCGCCAATCTCGTCAAGAACGTGTGACGAACATCGCGAATTTCAGGCCTAATGAAAGTTCGAACTTGAAATGTGAACATGACTCGAGTTGGCGTTGTGAACGTGCGTGAGCGCGTTCATGTGAGCGTGTGTGTTTTCGGCACGTACGAACACCATGCGAAATTGACGACTCCATCGCGAAACATACAATGGTATAAATTTGACTTGGCGAGCAAGTACCGGGTAACATAAAGTTCGAATTCTGGTGTTCGACCTTGCGTGTGTGATTGCAACTTTGCTGTGTTATTCCTACAATTTTCGAACTTCGCTACAAAAAAAAGTTGAATTCCATTCGACTTAGGTTCAAGCAAAAATATTCGACCCCAAAACATGAACTCTGTCCAACTTGACGGAAAGAACGCGCCCTAATGGACTCTGGTTGTCGCGCGACGGGCCTGGGACTGAGGTTGGGGAAAATGTCGAAGCGGAGGCCCGGAGCGCGGGTTACCCGCCGAGCCGTGAGGTCGGGGTGCCACGTGCGAAGGTGGCGGGATGATTGTCGATGCGAGGGTTGCGAGTGGTAACGGTGCAGACTGTGTGTCAGAACATTATAGCTTATACTTTTGTGTAGGCTGTAGTGGGGTATCCCATAAGGGGTACAACCCAATTAGGGTTAGTACTTGTACCCACTTCATTCATAGTTCATTGATTCTCGTTTCTTCTCATGGTATCGAGCAGGTTCCCTCGTGGGAACTGATCCTAGGGCCCACCATCGAATTTTTTTTTTTCCTGCCCGAAGCGTGCTCCACTCAGGCCCGAGTCGCGCCTCGGGTCCTCTCTCTACTGTCGCGGCCTCCCTCGAGCCGCCCTTACTCGGCCGTCGCCGCCCTTAGCGGCCCGTCGCCACCCTACGCGGCCCGCCCGCCGCCCCTTAGACGCCCGTCCCGGCACCGTGCGCCGCCCGTCGACGCCCGTCCCGGCCCTGTGCGCCGCCCGTCCCGTGCGACGCGGCCCGCGCGCCGCTCGTCCCGGCCCCTCGCCGCCTGTACCGGCCCGCCGCCGCCCGACGCGGCCCGTGCGCCGCCTGCCCCGGCCCGTCGCCGCCTGATGCGGCCCGCGCGCCGCCTGTACCGGCCCGCCGCCGCCCGACGCGGCCCGTGCGCCGCCTGCCCCGGCCCGTCGCCGCCCGACGCGGCCCGCGCGCCGCCTTTACCGGCCCGCCGCCGCCCGACGCGGCCCGTGCGTCGCCTACCCCGGCCCATCGCCGCCCGACGCGGCCCGCGCGCCGCCTGTCCCGGCCCGTCGCCGCCCAACGCGGACCGTGCGCCGCCTGTCCCGGCCCGTCGCCGCCCGGCCCGTCGCCACCCGGCCCGTCGCCGCCTGTCCCGGCCCATCGCCGCCCTTTACGGCGTCACGTGCCGCCCTACCCTATCTGCGGACCCGCCGCCCTACCTTAGCGGCCCCGCCGCCTCAATCAGCGGCCCCACCGCCCTACCTGCGGCCCTGCCGCCTCGCTCTCGGCCCCGTCACCTGCTACAGCGCCGCCGCGCCACCCTAGCCGCCCGAGCCGTCTCACCCGGCCGAGCTGCCGACCGCCGCGCCGCCCTGCAGCAGCACACCCGAGCCGCCCGGCAGCAGAGTAGCCGAGCAGCCCAGCAGCCGAGCCGCCCAGCAGCCGAGCCGCCCAGCAGCAGAGCCGCCGAGCTGCCGAGCCGCCCTGCAGCCGAGCCACCGAGCCGCCCAGCAGCCGAGCAGACGAGCCGCCGAGCCGCCCTACTTCCGGGCCGCCCGACCTGCCCAGTCTGGTGAGCACAGCGCCACTGTTACTGCACTGCCCTCACCCTACTGTTTGCACTGCTAGCCGTCTAGGGTCATGGCTACCCCTAGTGTCCTCGCCTTTGACGCTGAGGGTCGGGCCATTGACTTTGAGGTCTGGGTAGATGACCTGCAGCTGTTCATACAGTGCGATAGGGCAGACGGCCTCTCTCTCTTTGACCTCACCTCTGGCGCTTCCCCTGCCCCTGCTGCTGA